GTACAACACAGCCAGCCAGGTAGGCACTAGGCAATCCGACTACGTCGGATTGCAGACAATGCCCCGGGCGTGTATTTCCGGTTCTCGTATGTGTGTTGAAATCGGAAATTCGGGTTCTCTGAGTTTGAGTGTCTAGCTATCAGTCACCTCGGGTGAAAGTCGATTCCCGAGTGTCAGATGCAGTGGGGGTGTAAGTCGCTCGTTTGCAAGTAGCTAGTAAGGTAGGCAATCCGACTACGTCGGATCGCAGACCATGCCCCGGGCGTGTATGTCCGGTTCTCGTATGTGTGTTGAAAATCGGAATTCGGGTTCTCTGAGTTTGAGTGTCTAGCTATTAGTCATCTCAAGTAAAAGTCGATTCCCGAGTGTCGGTTGCAGTTGGGATGTAAGGTCGCTCGTATTCAATTAGCCTAGTCGGGTAGGCAATCCGACTACGTCGGATCGCAGACCATGCCCCGGGCGTGTATGTCCGGTTTTCGTATGTGTGTTGAAATCGAAAATTCGGGTTCTGAGTTTGAGTGTCTAGCTATCAGTCATCTCTAGTGAAAGTCGATTCCCGAACGGACAATCCACCTACAGCGAAAAGGGCTCGAAACAGCCGTTCAAATCTGAAAAAGCATACAGTAGGTAACCTAACCTAACCTAACCTACTCGACGGCAGCACCACTCCATCACATCAGCGCGTATAATTTAACCGTAGCGTATAAATGTATAGTAACGTTCGTACGTAGACAGTATCGCGCGCAGTGTTAAATCGTAATAATTGACAATTAATATTACACACGCATGCATAAACACATACCTAAACAATAACACAACAATAAATATAATATAACATGTGTGCACATAGGACATGTATCATAACGCAGTACCTACACATCATTATGAAAATGTAATAAATATTAATCTATTAAAAATCACATAAAATATATATCTATTACGGAAATAACGGGCAAAATCCTAACGATGTGCGTAAAGGTGGTCAAACTCGAATTTTGAAAAAAATGGAACATTTCCGTTAATCATATTATTTATGACGAAAAAAAACGCGAAAAAAATAAATCCGATTTCTCACGGCCGCCGCAAATTATCGATATTCCTGGCGGCCGGGATCGAAACCACGACCCTCGAGTCACCTGTCCTAACGCTTAACCTACCTAGCCACCTACTGAGATGAAAATCTGAGTCAAATCTATGACTCTTAAGCCGCGTCGCCGTCCCCACGAATGGCGAACGCGGGTTGCGCGTCCGTCAAAGGGTGTTTGAGCGGACGACCGTGTCCGCCGCCTTCGGACGTTCAAAACGCGAGATTTGCGAAAAAAATTGAGATTTGCGAGGCGCATGTATATATGCCTGTATTATAGCGATACCTAGTAATACCTACACGGTACCTACTCTCGTTTCCGACATGCCACTCCACCCCGGGACTCGTCTGTGGCTATAAATTTAGCGGGGAACGCGAATAAGTCTTCGACGGGGAGGGTGATACGACTGAAAGGGGCTCTAAAACACACTCGAATTTTCGAAAAAAACAGCAATTGGAGCAGTCATATAGTCGTACTATTTTTAATATAGTATTTATAATCTGTAGCAGTATTTAACCAAATCGGAATCAAGTAAAAACTGTAATTTATCAAGTAGGTAATACACGTAGGTTAGTTATACTATAATGTATTTATAAAAGAAACATGTAGGTGCGTCGGTAAAATCAAGTATTAATTAAATGTTAATTATAATAATTTTTTTGCCCAATGAATATCGTCAAACGAATAATAATAATATATATAATATAATAATGCAAATTTGAAAAAAAAATTAACACTTTCGTTAAAAATGATAAATGTAACGAAAAAAAAAACGCAAAAAAAAAGAATTTCGATTTAAATCGGCCGCCGGGTTCGAAACCACGACTGTCGGGTCACCAGTTCTGACGCTTATCCTACCCATGGCTTAAATATACAAGGTTATTGCACATAGCCATTATTGTTATCAAATAAAATAAAATGGCAGCGTAAGGGTCACGATTCTTTATCAATTATTGTTATCACTTAATTATATAATGTATAATGTATATATTCATATAATATACAGCCAATCAAAACATCGCCCCTTACGCTGCCATTTTAATTTCTTAACAAGATAAAACGATTTAGTGGGGGTACTACTGCAATAACCTTGTATATTTAAGCCATGATCCTACCTAGCCACCTACCGAGATGAGGTCGATACGCCCTAAAACGCCTAAAACCCGAATTTTCGAAAAAAACGACAAAAAACGCGCTCGACGGCGGCGCGCCTATCGCACTCGATCTCGGCCGACGGGAAAAAAGTACGGCCGCGTACGGCTTATAAATCTAGCGGGGAAGGCGAATAAGGTCCGAAAGGTGCCCCCCGAAGCATAATATTACATAACATGTATGTTTTAAGAAATTAAAATGTATTGAATTTATTGTAGTCTTTTCATGTTTACTTATTATTACTTACATAATTATGTATGTAACGACATTGTCATCAACAATCGACACACCAAGGTCCTACTAAAACTCTTAGCTATAATAGTTAAATGTACTGCAATACTCATGAAAAATGTCTATCTAATCCGTGCATTCAAACTACTTATATTTTTAGTATATTATTGAAATGCTGATTAATTGCGGCTTCCACAACGCCCGGAATCACCTTACACAGGCAGTTAGTAAATATAAAATTTGCTTAGGTACGATAATAAAATTCAAATTACAATTTATTAAAGCGAACATAACATTTTAGAAGATTTTAAAAACAATTATTATGTAGTAGTAATGCAAAGAAAAAATCGGTTGTCTGTAAAGTCGGTTTCCTGACGATAGTTGAACGTGACAACGTGTTAAGAAAATACTGAAGGAATGGTAGCATTTTTCAAAAGTAAATTTTAATTTCATTTGTTTAATAGATTTGTATGTATATAGAGAATGAGGCAAATGGAAATCACAATGCAATTTATAAATTTATAAATTAAAGGGGCAAAAATTATTTCGAAAATAAAATTCTTATCACTTTCCTTATCAATAAAAACAATATTTAAGAAAATCCCAATAATTCCTATCAAAAACTCAAAACCCCGAGTTTCCCCTTGGCAAGGTGAGTGTTAGTACTCTCCCATCAAAAAATCCATCAAAAAAGCAAAATCCAAAAGGGGGGAGGAGGTACCCCCGTTCCCTAAAGCGGAAAACGGTAGTCTTCATAATAAGAATGGGTTCCCCCTTGGTCTTTAACTTGAGTTCCGGCTGAGTTACACTCAACTCAAAATGTGGGGGGGTTTGGGCTTTGGTTCCCTAATGTTGAAAATTTATCTGGGGCCTAAAAAATTGAGATGCCCATTGGTCCGGGGTCTCTAGGTCGAATACCGGCTATGTTATGCTTCGTCAAAAATAATTACTCGTTTAATGGGTCCCCCCCCCACTCTGCCCGACGTTCGCGAGGTAACGAAACATTTTTTCGTGCTTGCAGCCGGCTCCATCGATTTATAAGACGTTATCACGTCAAAAAATTGAAAACACATTTTTTTGAATTTTTGAATCTCGAGCACTTGAACCGTTTCTGAATTTTTGGTTTTACATATTATACCTATTACACACGGAAATATCCCAATTTTCATAATATATAGAAACCTCAAAAAAACTACTTCGGAGAAGTAAAAAAGGCTTTCTGTGCGTAATTTGAAGAGATTGGGAGAAAAGATAGAACTTTGGTGTTAATAAAGATGTGAAATCAATCTCAAAGTTCTGTGCCAAAAAGGGTCACGGTTGAAAAAATAGAATTTGGGGCTTAATAAAGAAGTGAAATCAATACCCAAATTATGTGCCTCAACTTGAAAAAATATCTTATTCAAAAAAATTTCGAGATGTTCAACTGTACAAACATTAAAAAAAAATATTAGCACAGAACGGCGTACAATAATGATGAATTAATAAAATTAGCCATAAATTGTCGACTTGTTTACGAGTTAATCTGTTTGATTCGAATTTTTGTTGACAAACTGTAATTCACGCCGTTCAGAGGGTTATACGAAAAGCCGTAATTACTGACACTGGTTGACCCATTACAGATGCGATATCTTCCACTATTTTTTTCGCAATTTTCATTTTCATTTTTCAAATCTGGTACACCAATTATCTCAACAAGATTTAAGATTGATTTCTGTTCTAATAAATTTAATCGCTTGGATAGATTGTAGATATAAGAGTTCAACTTAATATTATTTTATTTTAACAATTTTTTCTCCTTCTTTAGTTCTTTAATATTAAGTAGTACTTCTTTAAGCTGCTTACCAAAATCATCAAATTTGGCACTCATAAATTTAATAGAATTTGTTAAATCCGACAGAGTCTCGTTTGATCCAACAAAAACGAGTAGTAAGTGGGTCCATAGAGGCGACACGCCACCGCCACCAACACCCGCCGCACCAACACCGGGCCGAACCCCTCCACCGCTGACACCCCGCCACCCGAAAGACCACTGCTGACACAGCTCACCCACCACTAGGGTTGCCAACTCTTATTTGCGGATAAGCGGGAAACCAGATATTTACAAGCGGGACTCGACAAAAAAAAACGGGACAATACTACAAAGTTACAAAATCGAAAGAAAAACAATTTTTATCTTTTTATCAGTTTTATTTAAAATTTGAAATAAAATTAACAGAATAATCGTCTTAAGTTTTTTAACACAATATTAATCATTAAATAAAACACTTTGCTCAGTTAAGAGTACCTACCTTATCACAAGACAATTAGATTTTATTTTTGAAAGAGTACTTTTTCTTGTGATTTGTCACATTTGAGCAATTTTTTATTTTTAATAACATAGTCATAAAAATCTTTGCAATTGTACTGAAAATTAATTTTTACTTGCAGTTCTGCCTTTACGTGTTCAACACTCAGTCTATTTCTTGAATCAGTCCAGGCGTTTCCGCAAAGTGAAAATGCCCTCTCAGCAGCGGCATTTGAACATGGAATAGACACAATAAACTGGAAAATCTTTAATAAGTTCGGTATATTCAAATGCCGAAACAGTTCATGCCAAGTTTCATAAATAGTTTTTTTTTCATTAGACGAATGTGTTTGCTTACGCTCCTCAATAATTTTATCCAGAGTTTCTTTAATACTGCAAAACTCATTATAAAGTTCGTCCATATCTATGAGTTTGGTGAGTGATAATTTTTCACAACACATAGAGAGATCCTTGTAGATAAATGTATTTTCCAAAGCAAACATTCGCATTGTAGCCAAATTATTATCTTCCGAAAAATTAAAGTGATCGTCCAGATATTTCAATGCATTTTTGTACCATGTAACCAAAACAATTTTTATGGATTCTTGTTCATCAATTGAAAAACTAGTCAGGGAATTTGTACAAATAAATCCAAAGAATTTGTCGTTGATTCTTTGTTCTATTTTTAAGCGTAAATCTGTTGAGATGTTAAAAGTTTCACAAGATAAAGCATTATCTTTTTCCAAAAACATGATGACATTCTGAAATATTTTTAAAGTATTATCTAGAAATCCAAGAAAACATTCTGTTTTTTTTGCGTGGTTTTCATTAAAATATTTTCCTAATGCCACTGGACAGTTATCTCCAAGAGACATAAAATAAGACTTCAACGCTGGAAATCCGGGTAGAATTTTTCCAATAGCGGGATGCAATGATAGCCACCTCGTTTTGACGTGTCTTATAATATTTTGGTATTCTATTCCAGCATCAGCAAAATGTTCTTTTAGAGTTTGTACTCTTTGGGCATGGTAGGATAAGTGCCCATACACTTTAAGTACCAAATTTTCCACGTCAAACTCACACTTTTCCATAGCATGACGGATGACATTGTGTACCATGTGTGCTGAACACCCTGCAGGCAAGATGTTGGCATTATCTTGAAAAAGTAGTTTGTAAACTGAATTATTTTTTCCAAAATTAACATTGGCGTTGTCGGCTGAGTAAGCAGATACATTTGTGAAATCTAGGCCCAGCGCTTTAATTCTATTTTTTATATTACTATAAATATCGATAGCTTTTTCATCTGGGTCCTCATAAAAATCAAGCAGGCAGGTGCTAATTCCATTATCTGGCGAGTAAAATCTGACAATAATTGGAAATAATTTTATATGTCCGTGATTTGACGCATCTGTCGAAATACTATAAAACACGCCTAATCTCAGTTTTTCCACAATTTCTTCGATTGATGCTGGAGCCAGAACGTTGTAAATTAAACATGACGCCTTAGTTCTACCAAGCGATATTTTTGATGCAATTTGAGAATCATTAAATATCACGGGACTTAGCTTTGAATCGCAGTCAATAGAATTATACGACATGTTATGGTTCAAGCTATGGTAAACATTTGTCAACTCTGCAGCAATCACTTTTTCCTCGACTGTTGTCAATACATCACGCTTTAAAAACTGTTGTAAAGTTTGAGTATTCTTTCGAGCTCTTTCTCCCCGTAGGTGTTCCGGAACGCTAATATGCCGTTTAACGTCATTCAAACCTCCATGCGATATCATAAATGATTTCATACACACGTTGCAAAAAGCTTTATGAACATTTGTATCAACTCTTTTTAAAAAAGGATACGATTGCTCCCATTCTTGTCTGTAGGAACACATACGTTTACATTTTTTGTTTTTTAGTTTTTCACAGTCAATCATTTCTGAATCAGACATGACTAGGGTTGCCAACCGTCCCGCGTGAGGCGGGACGTCCCGTATACAGGGCTCAAATAATGCGTCCCGCGATGCGTGTTCTCGGGACGCTAATTGTCCCGCTTCTAGGTAAACCTGTCAAAGTCCTATTAAATATAAATATTACGTTCGTATTGTGCGCATTTGAAATTATTTTCCATCGATTGCACGTGCTGGTTTTGTCAAACATTAGTAGTATTTGTATTCAGTATTCTCAGAATATTTAGGTTGAACATTTATCGAAATGTCTATAACAAAATCAATATTATTTTAGTTTTAGTCATGTCTAATAACTAGTTAAAAAAAAAAATAGAATGTAGAAAATAGCTTAGTTAGTAACTAAGTTATTTCTTGTTATAAATAATTGTAACTTAACTTAGTTATTTTGTTAAAATGAAAGTTATTTACAAAAATGTTTCTATTATGATTCATGAACTGTTTATTATTTGCATCGATATTTCTGAGAGCTGCCAGGATGGAGATGATATGTATATTATTTTATTTATTTCGAAGGAATATTAAATTCACGGCCACTTACACCGCTTTCATCAGATCCAAATGATCTCGTTCCGTTAACGCCCGGCCATTTTTCAATCGGACAACCATTGCACGCTCTTCCAGAACTCGACGTTTCACAGATTCCCCTCAACCGATTAAATAGATGGCAGTTGATCCGTCAGTGTCACCAATCCTTTTGGAAAAGGTGGGCGAAGGAATATCTGACCACCTTACAAGGACGCCAGAAGTGGTTCCACAAAGAATTGGATCTAGCTGTTGGGGACATGGTCATTGTTGAAGCCCCGAGTCGGCCCCCTTCCGAATGGCGTTTGGGACGTGTGACGGAAGTACATCCTGGCAAGGACGAAACAGTTCGAGTCGTTACCGTGCGAACTCAGGATGGAACTTACAAAAGACCAGTTGTTAAACTGGTTAAATTGCCGGTAGATCCATAAGTTCCTTGTTTTTCCACAACATTTTTCCTCTATAAATGTAGTTTTAGTTTTAAGTTAATTTAAGTTTGGACGCTCTCTCGTCAAGGATCAATGGATGTTTCGGAAGCCTACGTCTTCCAACAGGGGGAGGATGTTCGGTGCGTATGCCCGGTCTTGGACTTTGCCCCGCGTTATCGCCATTACTGTGGACACCGCGCGACCGTTCCGATATCTCCGGAGAGAGAAGCGTTATCGGTGTGTCGCTGACGGTCTCTTCCCCGCTGCAAGTAGTCCGACACAGTGCCTTCTGTCGCAAGGTCGCCGGTCCTCAGCCGTCTTGGCAAATATCGTTTTTTTTGTGTGTCCAATATATGTGCGAACCGGTGCGCCGTCGCCGTCAATATCCGTTTGTGATTTCGTGTCCGTCCGAGCCGTTTTGCTCACCATAGTGCTCGCGTTCCGTCTATCAATCGTGTACGACAGCGTTAGCACCTCGCGAAAACATTCGTCAAGTGTTTTCAGCCACCCGTAGCCCCTCGCTCCACGCGGTTGGTCGTTCCGACTAGTAATTGTGCAAGCACCTCGTACTGTCGCGCGTCACGCCCTCGCCGTGACCGTGTATCATGTTGGGTTTAAGATCACGTTCATAGTTGTTCATACTCATCTCGTTCCCGCTTCAGTTTTTTTGGTAAATCAAACTACCTACTTGCACGGTCATCCGGATCCGCAAGCGCCCGGCGCCCGCACGCGTAGTGAGTGTCGTAGCCGTCATTATTACCCGCACGCGCATTAATTATTGGCCGTCGTCAGACGACAACGCACGCACGCACGAGTCGACCGCCGAACGCGAATCAGCTGTTCTCCACCGACACAGATTATCCAGCTATTCCGTATCAGGTCGCACCTACATTCATATTTTGTTATCACCCACCTTTTGGTTTACCTTCGTGTATTTGTCACTCGACCATCGAATTATATTTTTTGTAAATTTATTATTTGTCTCTTTTTTGTCCCGCTGTATTGGCGACCGCTTGTGGTTGGCCCCCACCTACAACTAACATAAATACTTAAGTTTTTTCACCTGTACTTATGTTTAATATACGTCCTATTTATTTTTATAATTTTCATACAACAACAACGATATTGTTATTTCTCTCGCTGTAGTTCTCCGTCATCCATTTTCCTATTTACCTTCCTATTACATTCCACTACCATCGCACGACAATTAACATAATCCGGGAGCGGGCAATACCTGACGATCATATTTAATTCAGGTTGTCCCTCCACACACATACTTTACATAGTTGAAATAGTAGTAACTACAATGATAAGATATATTTTGTACAAATAAGCAAATGAATTGACAGTGATTGTAAAACCGTAATGAATACATAAAACCGTGTTTAGAATAATTAGTAAGAAATGCAATAGTTAAATTACAATTATGTACATGACATTATACTTTTTTTTTAAATAAACAATTAATTAGGTAAAAATACAACGATGACATAATATAATGGTATAAAAATTTAGTAGTAAAAATATTCATACAGTAAAGTAATATTATTAAAATTTAAAAAAACCAGTTACTATAATTTGTAAAATAACGTAAGAAAATCGAAAAAAAACATGTTTACCCACGTAAATACATTATATATAAGTAGTATAGGGGTCACTATGGTACACTTTCATTTTAAATGCAATATTTCCTAAAATATTTTTCATAGAAATTGAAATGCAATATTCCTTTAATTATTTTGCAAATCGTGAAACGCAATAATTATTAAAATATTTTTCAAAAAATCTGAAATGCAAAAATACTAAAAATAATTTTCATAGAAATTGAAATGCAAAAAAATACTAAAAATATTTTCCTATGGGGGACTTCGGCACACGTGACATTTAAATGCAATAATTACTTAAAATATTTTTCAAAAATCTGAAATGCACCAAAACATTTTTTAATGTTTCAAAATGTTATTAAATCCGCTAAAGCTTTCTACGGATCGTGTTATTATTGTAATAAGTGCGATAAACCATATCAAAATAAAGATAAACATAAATGTGGTAAAAATAAAAATAAAAATATATGTAAATTGTGTACATATTATGGTGAGAGATTTGAACATTCAATTAGTACAAAAAATAAAATATATTGTGAAAAATGTAATAGATATTGTTATAATCAAGAATGTTTAGATAATCACGAATATGTATGTTCCTATGTATATAAATGTATTGATTGTAATAGAATATTGTTTAGAGATAGGGAACATAATTGTGGTTATAGTAAATGTAGAAATTGTCTAGAAGAAGTGAAAATAAATGAACATCAATGTTATATGCAACGTAGATTAGCAAAAGGAGGTAAATGCTTAGTAGGATGTACAAAATGTGGATTTACAAATAAACCATATCAATGTTCTTATACAGAAAAATATTTGTTTTTTGATTATGAAGCTCAACAAGAAACAGGAACTCATATCGCAAATAAAATAATTGCTCATGATTTTGAAGGAAATAAAATTATGTTTGATACAAATGAAGAATTTTGTAAACAAGTAATATCTGAGGAATATAGGGGTTATACATTTATAGCACATTATGCAAAAGGAGACGATTCACAATTTATATTGAAATACTTGATTGATAACACTCTGAAACCATTTACAATTTATAATGGTACAAAACTAATGTTATTAGAAATTAAATATTTAAAAATAAGAATAATAGATAGTTCTAATTTTATTCAAGGTCCTCTCAGTAGTTTTCCCAAAACGTTTGGTCTCAAAGAACTGAAAAAAGGTTACTTTCCGCATTTCTTTAATACAGTAGAAAATCAAAATTATATTGGTAAATTACCTGATAAAAAATATTATGGAGTCGAAACAATGAAACCAGAGAATAAACTAGAATTTGAAAAATGGTATAATGAAAAATTAATGAAAATTATATATTTATTTTTAAAGAAGAATTAGAGGCTTACTGTAATTCAGATGTAGATATTTTACGAAGAGGATGTTTAGAATTAAGAAAACAATTTTTGGATATAGCTAGCATTGATCCTTTTTGCTATACAACTATAGCAGGTGTTTGTATGAGTATTTACAGATCAAAATATTTGTTAGAAGATACTATAGCTGTTTTAGATAAAGAAAAAATGAAAATTATTCAAAACAATCGATAACGTGGTTACAAAATTTTAATAATAAAAATATCTCACATGCATTAAATGGGATCGAAATAATAATAGCAGGAGGTAAAGTAGATGGATTTGATAATAAATCAAAAACGGTTTATCAATATCATGGATGTTATTGGCACGGTTGTACTAAATGTTATAAAGATCGAGAAACTATAAATAATATAAATCATGAAACAATGGATGATTTGTATCAAAAAACAATTGAAAGAAGTACATCAATAAAAAAAGCTGGTTATAATCTTGTTGAGCAATGGGAATGTGATTGGATAAATAGCACTACATACAAAAAAATGAAAAAAGCTGATATAGCTGACCCTATTAATCCTAGAGATGCTTTCTTTGGAGGTAGAACAAATGCGACAAAATTAAGGGTAAAAAACACAAAAATGCGTTATATTGATGTATGTAGTTTATATCCAACCACGGTTTAAGATAGACTGGTTGCGCGTCGAACGAAAAAAAGTGGCATGAGAAAGCGCTTACAAAAACTTACTGGCACATAACGCGATCTAGCGGTAATATTCATAATCTATATTCTATAGTATATTCCTTTCTGGACGGAATAAGCTCCACGGTTTTTTTATTTCACAAAATCACTTTTTAATTTTTAATTATCAAATAAACCTTGATTAGTTGATTATTATTTAGATTAAACAGTCCTAATGACTAGTTGAATGTTGAATGACATTAATTTAAACAGTACCTATTAAATTATTGAGTTGTAGATTTAATATTTAACACAGTGTATATTATATTATATTTAAATTTTAATTTTTAAAATGTCTAATTATAACTATTGTTGTATTCGTAAACCTCACGAGCAATCCAAAACGTCATTTGGTGTT